TGAAGTAAGTCAGAAAGAGAAAAACAAATATTGTATATCAATGCATATATATTGAATCTAAAAAGACCTACTGTTTAACCTATTTGCAGAGCAGCAATGGAGACTCTGAAATAAATGCAGTAAATGCAGCAAATCCCAGAGAACAGACTGATGGACACGGGGGTGGTGGGAGGAAGGAGAGGGTGGGATGTATGAAGAGCTTAACATGGAAACATACACATTACCATATGTAAAATATATAGCCAATGCAAATTTGCTGTGTGACTCAGGTAACTCAAACTGTAACAACCCAGAGGGGCGGGAGGAGGTTCAAAGGGAGGGAAATAGGTATACCTGTGGTTGATTCATATTGATGTTTGGCAGAAACCAACACAATATTGTAGAGCAATTACCCTTCAATTAAAAATAAATAAATGTAATTTTGTTTTAAAGAAGTAAAGGGGATTAGACCCCCCCCAAAGAAATTGAGCCTTGTTTTGGTTTCCTGCTTTATTCTTTTGCACTGAGTTAAAGTTCTGCTCAATTTTTTAAAAATTTCAAATAAATTGGATTAAATGCAATATTTAAAATAACTTACTTTAACTCCTCATGTACATTTAGGACAGTATTTATTGCATAGATTTTATACTGTCCATTAATTTGGGGAGAAAAGTAAGCATGCTTTAATGGAGAACTGTAAATAAAATGTTTTTAAATTGCTTTAAGTGGATGCAGTGAATGACCTCTGTATCTTAGTGAATTTTAGGGGACTTACTAAAATAGTATGGTTAATTTCTGTAATAGTCACAGATGCATTTTTGTGCTTTTACTCCAAGGGGAATCATGACCAGATTAGGTTAAGAGGTATAACATGTCTATGGAAAAGTATATAGTCACTGTTCTCCAGAGAAACAGAATTTTTAAGCTGGATAGAGAGAAACTGATAATAGATAGATAAATATATAGATAGGTGATAGATAGATAGATTTATTATGAGGAGTTGGCTCACATGATTATACAAGCTGAAAAGGTCTACCATCTGCTGTCTGCATGCTGGAGACTTGTGAAATGGTGGTATAGTTCAGCCAGAGTACAAAGACCTGAGAACCGGGTGAGCCAGTGGTGTATTAATCAGTCTCAGTCAGAGGGCCAGAGAGCTGTGAGATGTCAAGCTCATGCCTGATATCCATCCACACTGGAGTGGGCAATGTACTGATTCCACTGAATCAAATGAGAATCTCATCCCGAGATACCTTTACATACATTCCCAGAAATAATGTTTAAGGTGAGCACCCCTTGGCCAGTTAAGGTGATACATAAAATTCACCATCACAAAAAGGGAAATAAAACAAACTGCTGCGTGATGATGATGATTCCTGTATAGTCTTTTTTCTTTGACTTTACAGAGATGAAATTAATTATAAGCCTTCTCAAGGAAAATGTTAAAATTTGGGTGATTATATATATGTTCTATGAATATGAATATTTTAACAGCTTTGAATTTTACACATTTGTGTTACCCTTAAATAATTTTCAGAGACAGTCTATTCCTTTTTAATGCAGTAAATCCCAGTATCACTACTGTTGGGTATTCTTTCTACTCTTTGTAAAGCCAGAAAAATCTCTTTTTGATACTGTTTTCCTTATTTCTTATACTGCATAGGTTTTTAATCTTTTGTTTACAGTTCTAGAGTGTTTCTGGGTTTATATGAATGACTGCTCTCTTTAAACAGTAGGTTCCACATGAAAAGATCATAATTCTGCCTTACTTTTGAGTTCAGCTCAAAGTATATTTATTGAGTGGGTTAGGCATTCTGCACAAAGATTTAGAGTAGGCATTATCCTGCTCTAGATAAGCCCGTGATCCAATTGATTATATCCAAGTAATTATATAATATAGTAACTAGTTATAAAATGTAAAAGACCATGAGGCCTAAGCATAATAGTATTAGAACAGGTTGGAGAGGAAATTACTTGCTTGAATCTATTGGAAAGAGCTTCTAAGAGAAGTTGGACTTTAAAAATTAGTAGAATTTTGAAAGGCATTGAAGTGGAGACAGAGAGGGAATGATGGATAGGACATTCTTGGCAGAGTGTTGAGCATGAGTGTTGAGCATGAACTTAGTCTGAAAGTCATGAAAGTATGGAATGTATTTAGACAATCTTAGGTAGTCTGCTGTACCTAGATAAAAAGTGATGGTATGGGAAAAGAAAAGTAATAGGAGATGAAGATTGAATATAGCTTAAAAATTAGTACATTTACCATTTTAAAGAATACACACTTGTTTTTTGAGATGGATATTAATTGAAGGATTTGGAGCAATGTACCTACATGATCAGAATCATAATTTATAAACATAGTTCTGTAGGCAGGGTGGATTGGGAGAGAGTTGGGTTCTGAAGGGAGACTTAATAGGAGATTATTTCAGTGGACATGTTAAGCCTGATTTATAGTGGCAGTTTTTAAAAAAGGAAAACAAGGGATAAATCTGAGTTATTTAGACATTAGAATGAGCAATGGTTATAAATCAATTGAATGTAGAAAATAAGGAAAATGGATAAGTTAAATTTTGAGACTTTATAGCTTGGTTTATTAAATATTTAAATCCTCAGTTGAAACTGAGACTACAAGAAAACAAATAGCTGAAGTATTATGTTAAATTCCAAAGGGGATTAAAGAATTATAATTAAAAAAAAATTTTTTTTAAGAATTATAATTAACTACTAGGAGGCCCTTTAAAATGATAGAGTTCTAGATTCTAAAGATACAGGAAGGACTGCTGTTGTAGGTAAGGATGAAGCCAAATGGATAGGATCTAGGCTTCTTACTCCCTCTGTAGACAGTGCCATTCTGATTTTATTGGATTCCTAAATATTGGTTTGACATAAGTTTTGTTTGAAAAATCAAATGGTCTTCTGCTTAAAAAGAACGTTGGAAAGTTATTGCTCCAGCTCTCTTACAATTGCAGCCCCAGATGTTCAAATTGGCCAATGTCCTACATGTCTCATGTGTTATTCTGAAATGCTTACATGACACTCAAGCAGCCATGTGGAGATCTCAGGAAGCTGCTGGAAATGTGAAACCCAAAGAAAAATCAAGGTTAAACCAAAGTGAGAATTTACACTATAAAAACAAATAGTATTATCCAGAAAGAATGTGTTTGAGTATGAAGAAAGTCAAGGAAAAATCTTGGGAAACCACTGCCTCTGAGGAATGAAAGAAAGCGAATCAGTAAGTGAAATGGATAAAGAAACAGTTAGTAGGCGGGAGACCAGGCCAATGTGTACATGTTAAGAGCCTGAGTTTTGGCTGAAGGAAGCCCTGAGTTATGCTCCTTACTTTACAGCTGTGCGCAAGCACTCACAGCCAGTTTTCTCTGTCTGCGGGAATACTAGACCCTATCTCGAAGGGTTGTCATGAGTAGTAAGTGAGACATAGACAAAACTTTAATGGAGTATGTGGCACATAGTTAAGTGTTAATAGACACTTTTAAAGAATCCACCTGCCAATGGAAGAGACTCAAGAGACAAGGGTTTGATCCCTGGGTTGGGAAGATCCCCTGGAAGAGGAAATGACAACCCACTCCAGTATTCTTGCCTGGAAAGTTCCATGGACAGAGTAGCCTGGTGGGCTACAGTCCATAGGGTAGCAGAGAGTTGGACATGACTGAGCTCACACACAAATTTGTAATAGCCGAGAGAATAGTGTTTTCAAAAACCAAGAGAGTGTCAAGAAATAGAGGTTGAAAATCAGTATCTAAAGCCGTAGATAAATGGAGCATAATGAAGATCAAGAAGAAACTAAAAGATTTTTTAGAATTTCACAGATAAAACTCACAGAATACCTTGAAGAGAATAGTAGAGGCAGAAGTCAATTACAGTAAACTTTAAGCATGACTGAAAAGTGAGAAAGTGATGGCAAGAATTGTAGATACATCTAAAAGATGTTCTGTGATAAAAAAGACAGAGAGAGGAAGGCAAAGTTACTGAAGTTTTATTTTGAGAATTAAATGTGATTGTGGAAGGGAAGGCATGAGACAAAAATGAATGAAGCAAGGCCATATGGGAAGTAGGATTACAAGTAGAGGAATTTCTTCCTTTGTTGGGGAAGAATAGGACAAGTGAAGATACAAATGTATATGTCTTCTTTAGAGATGTTGAGAGAGATCAAGGTGGGCTTCCATTTTTTACTGAAGCATTGTGATAATCTGCCAAAATTAAGTGTTTTGACATGGAAGGTTAAAAAAGTTTTTAAACTATAATAGTGCTATGGAAATAAGAGAATAAGCTACAGAGGGGTAAAAATGAAAATGTACTACTTTGATGGCTTATGGTAAGTCATGAGGCATGAAGTGCTGCAGAATAAAAACATGTAATAAACAGTGACTGGAAAATGGAATAGCATCCAATACATTTAAAAAAAATTAATATTCAAATAAAGTTAATTTCAAATAATTAATATTCAAAATAAAGCAATATTCAAACAAAGTATTCAATTTGTTCCCTACTAAATGAGATTTTATAAACTCTTTTAGTTACTTTTAATTAGTAATGATTGTAAAAAAAATAATTGCCTTATGAAATCCCCTAAATATGATAAGTATTAGAAATTATCTCTTTTAATATTTTCTTCTCAAACTTTCTGGTTATTTTATTATTTTTCTTTTCCTACCTTTCCTCCCCAAAAATGAGGAAGCAGCTGTATTATATACATTTTATAGATGGTGCTGAAGATGTTTGTGATAATTGATAAGATTTTATTTTTAAATATTATTTGTTTAAATCTCAATTTGTTACATTTTGTTGTGTTTTGTTTTAGACTATTTAGACTATTTTAACCTTTAGCACTGCCGTATCACAATGGACATTGGGAAGAAGGAGCAAACTTTCAGTAACGATTTTCATTTGCTTTGCTTGCTTTCTGCTTATCTTTTTTGAATCTCACTTTTAAAAATTAAACTATACCGTCTTCATTTCTTTCCTGAGTCTCATTTGTATTCTTGTTTCTGCCATGCTTGCAGTCATTTTCTTACTCTACCTCGCTCCAGATACAGTCAGAGCATTGAACATCATCACAGGGATGGCAGGTATTTTTTTCTTACAATTGAGTATGTTCGTAGAATTGCATGTGCCTGTCTATTGATATTAACTCATTTCTGTTCTTTTTTATATATACGTTTGTGGATACTGATGAAATATAGAAATATTATCCTTGTAAAAAAGTAGAAAATAAAGCATATATAAACAGTTTATTGTATTAGAATGTCAAAAATATAACTTCCTCCTAATGGGCTGGGATCATCTCTGTGATGATTCTAAAAATGTAATTCACGAGAAATTACTTTTGAATCATTACATGGAAAAGTAGAATAACAATATTTTAAAAAATTAATACAGTTGACAGCTCATCTTCCTCTGGAGAGTTCATGAATAGATATTCAGACAGCACTAGTTGATTGTGGTACATATCCTAACAACCCACTTCTACCTCCCTCCAAATCAGCCTTTGAAAAGTGCTTAGATTGGACAGAGGTTTATGAGGCTGAACTCAGGTTTATGATTACTTTATCAAGGGTGGCTGTGATCTACTCATTAGTTATAGTAGATGAGTCTGGATCCCTGGAGAATAATGGGTTTGTGGGTAAATCCTTGTTCATTTCTACTCTACTACCATTCTCCTTGTATTGAAGAGAAATATAAATTACCTGGCATTTAAGAGAAAGGAGGATTACCTCTCTAGTTATTCCTAGAAGGAAATCTAGCAGGGAAAGAAGGTCTCTAGAGCTTGCAGTTTCTCAAGGCTAAACATAGCTGTAGGGATTTGAGCCAGTTCAGTGACATTTTGAGGCCCTGTAGGCAGAGAAAAGAACAGCAATGATAATGTGGTTGTGGGTTCAGCTATACAGATAGGGAGTTAATGTGCTGTACTCACTCTGACTATAGTTTCAGAGTGATTTGGGTTCTTTGTGACCACTTTTACCCTATTAGTTTAGTTAATTGAGAGTTGATAATGAAAGAGCTTAGAAAACATAATTGAAACTAGTGGGTAAATGCCTAAGATTGAATTCATTTAGACAAATATGGAAGGAAACATAAGAGATAGTATCAACAATAAATTCCTGATAATTCAAGTTTTGTGATGTCTTTCTGTGCGTGTATCTGAAATTTAGCGCCATCAGTTTACTGTACAGTAGTAGTTATTGCTATGTTTTATTTTCTTTTGCTTTTCTCAGTCTCTTTTTCTATTATTTTGCTTCAATACTAAATAATTTTCATTTTTTTTCTTGTTAGTGTTTGTCATCTTTATTATTGCTGTATATTACTTTCAGACTGTTTTTTTGGTTACAATGATTATACATGTATCTTACAAAAATGTGAAAAATAGTTATATACCTATCCTTATAATTGGGTAAGACCTTTTTTAAGGTGGGTGGCATGAATGAGATATTATTGACTATAGAATTCTTGTGCTGGTATCTTTCCACTTAAATATAAATTAAAATCATGCATCACATTAGTTTTTTATGCCCTGTATTTTTCTTAGTTATCAATAAGTAAATTGCTTCTTATTATTTATTCTTTCAGTGAACCAACATAGATAGAGCCAGTCCTTGAACAGCTCTAGGTTGATTATCAATTTCATATTCTTGCTCAGTTTCTCAACCTCAGCCTAATTGGCCTATTTTGAAAGAGATTTCTGAATTGTCTTTTGTGCCATAATTTAGTTTGTGGTCAGAGCACACAATATCACTGATGTTTATATTAAAGGAAAACACAGTTAGGAAAATCAGTTTTAGAAAACAAGTTATCAAATAACTTACTCTAAGATTTGCTGTCACTTAAATGATTCAAAGTTGTGAGTCTAGTATATACTTACTCTGGAAAAATTGGATAGATATTTTAAGAATGTAGTTCTTTAGTTGCTTTCAATAATATTATCTTTTATTATTATTAGTTCGAGTCATACAAAAACATATCTGCGTGTTTCAAAGCACAGTAGTAAAATAAACATTTAGGAATCTACTACCTCTACCAAGAACCAGAATGTATAGCTAATATTCTTTCATCTACCTCTAGGCTTCTTGCGTATTGCATTTGTATTGTATTCCACAGAAACAGTAAATACTGTATTGAATTTTCAGCTTAACATTTCCTTCATTTGTTTGTTTTTTTTTGTTTTGTTTTGTTTTTTCCATTTATTTTTATTAGTTGGAGGCTAATTACTTTACATCATTGCAGTAGTTTTTGTCATACATTGAAATGAATTAGCCATGGATTTACATGTATTCCCCATCCCGGTCCCCGCTCCCACCTCCCTCTCCACCCGATCCCTCTGGGTCTTCCCAGTGCACCAGGCCCGAGCACTTGTCTCATGCACCCAACCTGGGCTGGTGATCTGTTTCACCCTAGATAATATATATGTTTCAATGCTGTTCTCTTGAAACATCCCACCCTCGCCTTCTCCCAGAGTCCACAAGTCTGTTCTATACATCTGAGTCTCTTCTTCTGTTTTGCATATAGGGTTATCATTACCATCTTTCTAAATTCCATATATATGTGTTAGTATACTGTAATGGTCTTTATCTTTCTGGCTTACTTCGCTCTGTATAATGGGCTCCAGTTTCATCCATCTCATTAGAACTGATTCAAATGAATTCTTTTTAATGTCTGAGTAATATTCCATGGTGTATATGTACCACAGCTTCCTCATCCATTCATCTGCTGATGTGCATCTAGGTTGCTTCCATGTCCTGGCTATTATAAACAGTGCTGCGATGAACATTGGGGTGCACGTGTCTCTTTCGGATCTGGTTTCCTCAGTGTGTATGCCCAGAAGTGGGATTGCTGGGTCATATGGCAGTTCTATTTCCAGCTTTTTAAAAAATCTCCACACTGTTTTCCATACTGGCTGTACTAATTTGCGTTCCCACCAACAGTGTAAGAGGGTTCCCTTTTCTCCACACCCTCTCCAGCATTTATTGCTTGTAGACTTTTGGATAGCAGCCATCCTGACTGGCGTATAATGGTACCTCATTGTGGTTTTGATTTGCATTTCTCTGATAATGAGTGATGTTGAGCATCTTTTCATGTGTTTGTTAGCCATCTGTATGTCTTCCTTGAAGAAATGTCTGTTTAGTTCTTTGGCCCATTTTTTGATTGGGTCATTTATTTTTCTGGAGTTGAGCTGGAGGAGTTGCTTGTATATTTTTGAGATTAATCCTTTGTCTGTTGCTTCATTTGCTATTATTTTCTCCCAATCTGAGGGCTGTCTTTTCACCTTGCTTATAGTTTCCTTTGTTGTGCAAAAGCTTTTAAGTTTCATTAGGTCCCATTTGTTTATTTTTGCTTTTATTTCTAAAATTCTGGGATGTGTGACCCACATCCCAGAATTTTAGAAATTTGTTTGTTTTTTTAAGTGACTTTGATCATTTATTTCTCTCTGCTAACTTTCTGAGTTACTTAGTTCTTCTGACTCCCACTTCAGTCCACTGTGAGATTCTGGGGATTATTGAAGATACAAAAACTCATCTAGTCAGCTATCCCTTCTCCTTTATTTATTACCATAATGTTTAATTCATCTTGTTTAAGCCCTGTACCTTTGTACATATTGCAGCTGAACAGCCATGCATTTTCCTTCCATGTTGATATCATCTGTTGACTTCTTGGATATACTATTTTATTTACTGAGGATTTTAGCATGTGGCTTTAGTTTTCCTCTTTATCATAATTCCTGCCATGTACCTGAATGATGTTGTGTGTGTGTGTGCTGTCATGTCCAACTCTTCTCGACCCCATGGACTGTAGTCCGCCAGGCTTCTCTGTCTTTGGGATTCTCCAGGCAAGAATACTGGAGTAGGTTGCCATTTCCTTCTCCTGTCAATGTTAGCATTCACCTGAATGATCTATTTAGTACCCACTCACTTCCTTAACCATCTCAAGTTGGAGGTAGTGAGCTTTACTCTCAGTTCTGCTTTAGTTACTCACTCCCGTGGCCATGCTCTGAATATTATCATCACTTGAAGCTTTTCTACCTTTAAAATTTTTTTTAAAAATTCATTTTTTTATATAACTTTTAAAGATTACTTTCCATTTATAGTTATTACAAATGCTTCATTCTTGGACAATAACTGCACATGGTTCCTTCTTATTCTTTCATTGAGTTACTTTTAACTCACTGATTCATTTATCCGCTCTGTTTACCCCTTAACCTTTCCCAATTTGCCTCCACTTTACTTACATATCTGGGGGTTGAATCCATTCTTGGAAACATCCTCAGTTCAGTTCCATTGCTTCATTGTTCTTCTTTTACATTTTTGATGAAGTCCAAGTCTGGAGCAATCTCTCTTGCCAAATGGTTTTTGATCTAAATTATCCTAGTTCTCTCTAATTACCTACTGGAGAAAAAAAAATGACTGAACATTCCAAGGAAAAGTGACCTCTTTATTGAAGATTGTGAAAAGAATAAAAAGAAATTGGCACCAACTTTCTAAGTATTCAATTTCCCAGTCTGTATTTCAAGGTGGCATTTACTGTCATGGTCTGGGAATTCCCCTTCTGTGAATAAATATGTGTTAATAGTTTCAAGTGGACCATAGTTTGGCTGTATAAAATCTGGAATTTTCTGAATGGAATAAATGTATAATAGTTAACTAAACATGGCATCCTCAATATGTGAAGAATCAGAACCATTGGCCTCTCTCCTTCACATTTGTAAAATAAAATATGTATGCTGTCTCTTTGGAACAGATGAATAGAAGCTTAATGTTTGCTAAACTTCTTTTATATTACTTCAGGAAACAAATATTTAACTAATATTAGGGATCAAGACTTTTTTCCTCTGTACAAGTTGCACTGACCAGGGCAAAATCATCTTTGATCAGTGCATAGTTTAAAACACATTCAAAATTTAAACAAACATATTTGGAATGGATATCATGTTACCTTTTATTGATATCCCTCTAAGATATATCTTTTATTTCAGTTAATGTATCTTTTATATTTTAAAATCTATCCTCATATCTTACTTTTCCCCTGAGTATTTATCTTTACTTAAAGCTATACATGGGGCTTCCCAGGTGGTGCAAGT